GGCGAAGGCTCCCGGGCGCCGGGCCGCCCGCGGGCGCTCACCTGCAGCATCTCCCGGTTGAACTGCGCTCTCAGGGGGCTCAGGTTGAGGAGGCTGGCGGCTGCGGCGCTGCTTCGCCCGCCGCTTCTCGCCGCCGCGGCCGCGTTGGGCTCCTTGCTCTTGGGGCTTTCTCTCAGCGCGGCCGCCGCGGGGCCTCCCGCGAGCTGGGGTGGGCAGAGGGGCAGGGTCAGCGTGCCTCCCCGAGGAGCCCTGCAAGAGCCTCTCTGGAGAGAGCTTGTCAGCGGCGTCTTGGAAGCCCAGATAAATTATGTCAGCCTCCCTCATCCCAGTCCTGCTGCTTCACTGACATATTTGGAGCGTTCTCAGAGCGTCCCGAGGCACAATTTCCCTTTGCGGAAGCCGCGCTGGCAGCCCTAGCAGGGGGGTTACCAGGCTGCTCCTCGTTCCCAGGTCACTCCTAGCTGACGGGTTGGCATCTAACGCCTGGGCTTGTCCCCAGAGGCAGAGGCAGGCGCAGCATTTGCTGCCCTTCCCGCCTGAAGCTGTGCATTTCTGCAGRGAGCATATGCATCTGTGGTGTTTGCTCTGCATAGCCCCGGCAGGGCCTCTGCGTCAYCCCAGGGGTCCCCATGGAGCCCCGAAGGGGATGAAGCGACCCCGGAGGGCTCTGCTGCTGCTTTTGAGGGCAAAGGGAGCAGAGCTGGCAGGCAGCTCCCCAGCCACTGCTGCGTGAAAGACCCTGCCGGAGCTGCAGCGAGGGGCAGGGACAGAGCCAGGCCATGGGGCTGAGTGCCACAGGGCAGAGCTAGAGCATGGGCCATGCTTGGACGCGTTTCCCTAGGAGTAGTAAGGGAGTCAGAGAGCTGTCCCCAAACACTACTTGCTTTTTCTCTTTGTGAACACCGCTCCTAAAATACAGTCCCCAGTGAGGTGGAGAGCTCCTAAAGAGGTGCCTAGCTCCATAGCTCCTGCCCCTTCCCCTGCCACGAGCTGCTGGGTACTGTGGACAGCCTTTCCCAGGACATCCATCCCATTCCTYGGTCACATCCTGAGCAACGGGGCCGGAGAGCTGCAGAAACAAAAGGGTGATTCTCCTGCCTGTCTCCTGCCGTTGCCTGCTCGGTGCCAGGGCAGCCACTGTTCCCGATGAGCTCAGCCTGCGGCTCCTTCAGGGGCATCTGGAGACTCTTTTTCCCAGCGAGTGGTGGCCGGGGGAGAAACCTGGCATTTCCCTCGGGCTTAGGCTTTGCGGGCAGCCGGCGCTGACGAAATGCTCTGTCAGGGCTCCAGCCCCGTCGGGGGCCACAGGGAAGGTCAGCCAGCAAAAGASCTGGCCCTGGGCCCAGCCCAGCCCCAGCCCCAGCTGCAGAAACCCCTGGGGAAGGCGCAGCCTCAGAGACAGTCCTTTCCCAACGCAGCAGAGGAGCCTGGGGCCCCACTGCTCCCTGAGGACAGAGCTGTCCCTGGGGTGCCCAAAGCACCACTTTCAAAGCAGAGGACATCCTGACCAAGGCATGAGCTTGAGTTTCACACAAGGTCAAGCCAAGACCTGGCCAGGTGGCTCTATGCTTTCCCCTGGGCCTCAGCAGTCACATTTTCTGTATCCCAGGTTAAGTCAGGCCAAGTCATTGAGCACATGRTGGTCAATGCTAAGCTAAGGTAAACAGCAGATCGAGCACTGGAGCTTTTTGCTGGAGAAAACCTCTCCCAAGTCTAACCCCATGGCCATCCAAACAGGGAGGTGCAGGACTCTGATGCTGCCTCCTCTCATCAGACAGCAATTGCTCCCTTCATCAGCACTGGAAACCAGTCTGCTCCYGAGCGCGGACCCTGCTCATGGGCTCAGCTGGTGGGCTGGGCTGTGATCTGCTCTGCTGGGGGTCCCTGCGGTACCCAGCAGCCTGCCAGGATGGGGTCTCCAAGGGAGCCTGCAGAGCAGCAAGTTTCAGGCAACTGTTTCAGGCTCTCTAACCACTCTGGCATGTGTTGCCCCGCTGGTGACATGGGAGTCACTTTTCAAAGCCTTTCTGCCTAACCACAAGTAGAGACATCCTTTCCTCCCACCTCTTTTTTTTTTTTTTTTTTTTTTTTTTTTTTGGTTGACAAACCGATTTGCAGACCTTCCTGTGACTTCAGCATCTTCAGTCTCTCGACATTGGCCAGTGCTGGAAAAAAACTTTAATTTGGCCCCAGCGGAAGCAATAAAACCACTCAGCCACAGGAGGCGGCATGTGTACTAACCCCGGCTACTGTGCTGCAGTGTCTCACTGTGCCCAGCTCGCCCCCTGGGCAGTTAATTTACCTGGAGAGGCTGCATCCATCCCTGTTCCCAGGCACACCACCAGCCCACAGCAGGTATATCTCACCACTCTGACTGTATACCCTGGCTCTGGTAGCTGACTCATGGCCCTCCTTTGCTCAGCCCCAAGCCCAGCCAGATGATTGTACCCTTCATGAAGGCTGAAACGGGAGCACATACCGCATGGAAGGGGGAGCCTTGGTCCACCGGCGAGCAGAAACCACCAGTGTGGGGGCTCCTGGTCTCCTGTTTCTCTTCCTCCACATCCACTTCCTTTCTGAGAAAGACCTGGAGGGGCAATATGCAGCCCCATGAGTCCTGCAGTTTTTGACCTTCTGAGCGGTTAAGACTCCTACCATGGACTCTTACCAGSGTTAAGAGTCCTACTGGCCTCCTCCTGACCTGGGCCAGAAGAGGCTGTTGGTGATACTCCCACAGTGTTTGTGGAGACTCTTTCCCAGTCCTCCACATTCACYCAGACCAGGCCTCTCCAGGCAGTGCCCACATGCTCCCTCCCTGCCTGCAGCAAGTGGCAAGGGCTTCTAAGGTGACTTTRCTCAGCACCTTTTATACACCTCCCCCATATTTTTCCCCCTTGAACTGTCTCCAAAGGCAGCAGAAACCTGTTCTGTGGCCTCCTTCAGCTGCTGGCAGTATCAGCACGACTTTCGCCGTGTGGGCAGGTGGAGAACCCCATTGTCTCCTCAAGACAATGAGGGCAGAAGGACGCAAGGCACAGCAAAATGTTGACACCATTGGYACCAACCGCATCGGTCACCAATAGCTGCCCGTGGCCCGACTGGGAGGCAAGAGTTAAGAGGGTGGCTGACTCACAGAGAAGGGCTCCCCTGGGACACGTGCTGYGGGTGTGAGCAGGAGAGGCAGGAGGAAGGAAGTCCAGGAGCCACGGCCAGGCCCGGAGAGGAGCTCCAGGATGAACTCTACATTACCTTATTGCTAATGGAGCCCAACCCCAGCGTGAGAGATGTGTGGGATTGCTTGGATCACAGACAGAGGCGGTCACCCTTATCCTCTGCTGTTGGTCTACTTTKCTTAGACCATCAGATTTAGCAGGCCAATTTAGGGACTTTCTTTCATCCTCTCCTCYGAGTCACTTTGTTTTCTACTCAAAACTCTGAAACCAACTTACATGCCACCCAAACATGCACAATGCAACATGAGGTACTTGACAGAGTGTGCTGCTCTAACACCAGCTCCCGAATCTCCTCTGAGGCCACACAGCAGGGTGGTGAATCAGCCAGAACCGGAGCTGACACAGAACTACTTGGACTGCTCTGGACATAGCAGGATGYGCTCCCTGAGCAGAAAGCAGCTTCCTAGTGCCACAGCAGGATGTGAGGAGTCCCCCAACCCAAGAGATTCTACCACCAGAAAGGCCCAGATCCACAGGAACGGCTTCACAATCCTTCAGCTTCCTGCCCCATGGGCTCTGTTTTACAGGAGACAGGTACTACAGGCAGGTGGGAAGCCTTGACTGGCATCACCTACAAATCTGTCGCTGGCTGTGACACAGTCTAACATCAGGCACGACTTCCTTAAGACGCACTCTGGCCGAGACCCCATTTACCCTCTTGCAGCTGCTTTCAGCAGGGCTACCTGCAGAAGCTAAGCACTACCAGGCCGCGGGGCTGTCACACAGCGAGGGACAGGGAGGGCTCGGCGCCTCTGGCGGGGCCATGCCGGCAAAACCGGGCCCTCCCGCTGGGGAGAGGGCTGAGGAGAGCGCAGCTGCGCTGCCTGCAGGTTTGAATGCCCCTTTAGGGAACAGCAGGGAGATAAAGACAAAGCGGGTGCTGGGTGTGAGATCCTAGCAAGCCCTCCTTCTCGGCAGCAGCGTCCCAAGCTCCCTGCAGCTTGCGGGGMCCTTCCAAGCCGGCACTCGGCCCTGGGGGATAAGCCCGCAGGTGACASGGGAGTTTTGTTTAAGGGCTGCATCTTGTGACCCAGCAGCCGCAGGAAAAGAGGGCTGTCAGCACAGGGATGACTTCATCCCTTCTGCAGAGCAGCTCGGCCGGGGCTGCCCCCACACACCTCCCCAAACCTGACCCCAGATGTGGGTCCTTGCTCGGCAACRCAACAACCTCTACAAGGTCTTGCGCTGCCTCGGGGACCGAGGGCTGCAGAGGGGGAGCTCTGCCCCCCGCCACTGCTGCCCACACAGTCAGAGAGGTCCAACCCGACAGCTCGTCACGCCAGGCCTCACACACATGTGCAGCCCCACACGTGAACACGCACGCAAACGCGGCCTTGGCTTACGGCTAGGGAACAGATTAAAGACTTCTTCCTTGGGGCCTCTGAGGTAATGTGTTAACCGGTCACCATCAGGAACCCAGACTTCATAGGCATTTAACAAGTGAAGTGAGTGTAGTGGCCTCAGCTTCATCCTCGGAGGATGCTTTTTTTTTCTTTTTTTAAAAGGAAACCAAATGTGGCACATAAGCTCACTGCATTCCCTTGGAGGAGTAGGTGCCAATGACTTCATACGAGCAAGACAAGGAGGGCAAACCCTTCCAGGCTGCTGCTGGGCTGTGCTAGTCCTGGCCGAGCTCCTGGATGTCAGCGAGGTGGAGGCAGGAGTGAGCGGCAGGGACACAACTGGGGCCAGGCTGGCGGGGGCTGTGGGGCAGAAGCAGGCTGGGGGGGCTGGCGCTGGGCTAGCAGGGGCTATGGGGCAGGCTTGGGGAAGCCCCAACAGGCTGCTCCCCCTGCGCCTCAGCCCAGCTCCTGTGCCTGCACTGGGGCACYGCGCTGCCCTCCTCTCCCCCCATCCCGCACAGTCTTCCCCATACCATGCCCTGGCTCTCGCTCTTCCTCCCAAAGCTCCATCTTGCAGTCTTCCCGTCCAGCTCCACTCCACCGTGCTGCATAGACAGGAAGGGCTGATCCAGGCAACCTCCAAAGCCCCCCACACCACACACACGTCACCACCTTACATAAAAGAGGGGAGCCCTCAGGCACATCCCCCTCGGGCAGCACGGGCTCGAGCGGCACGGCAAGGACCTGCCTGCGCGCCGAAGCGAGCGGCAGCTCTTGGGAGGCTGTGCCTAGCCTTTATTGGCAATGAAGAAGGAGGTTTTGGCAGTCAGCTGCGCTGCTCTCCCTCGCGCTGTCCCGCTGTGAAACCAGCTGCTGTGGGTCAGGGTTAAATCACAGCGAGTTCCCGTCCGTTCTTTCAGCTATGAGCACGAGGTCTCCGAGCCGCCTTCCTCCCTGTYCCAGCCACCCGGGGGTCTCCTGAGCTCCAGCACTGACAGATGAGGACATCCGTGTCTGCTAGCACTGAAACTGGGAGGGCAGGATGCCAGAACGCCTGGGTCCTGCTCCCAACGCAGGCAGGGGACTAACAGGCAGGAGCCTCCTCATGTTTTCTGCCTTAGTGTGGCCCTTCGTGAGTCACTTCCCTTCTCCAAGCCTCCATTTCCCCCCAGTAAAAGGAAGAGCGCGTTCCCAATTCCCCTCATGCAATTGGATTATCACAGGCTTGAAAAGAGCAGAGCCTTGCACAACTGAGGCTCCATGGCAGAGCTTTCCTGTTTCATTTGAGTCCCAAAGAAAGCTCATTTCCAACTCTCCCCTCAAAGTCCTCTTACCCGGCAGCCTCACCGCACTGGGAAGCAGGAGCGTGGGAGGAGAAGGAAGCGAGCTATCCCAGGAGCTTCGCCACAAATGTTCCCTGGACATGCAGCTTTTTGGGACGGACAGAAAGAAAGAGGCAGAGATACCCTCCACCTGGGCACAGCCTCCCATAAGACCTACCCGTCCCCTTGCAGACATGGGTTGGGAGAGCAGAGCACAGGCGCCAGCCCTGAAGGGACGGGGAAAGCAGGGTGCAGGGTATGGTCCTTACCTTGAACTGAGCTTTCCCTGCCCTGCTGTTGTTGTTGTTGTGGTTCCTCTCGCCGCCAGCCTGGGCAGGGTCCCCAGGTCCCCCTGCATCACAGGAGACAGCCTCCCCATGCCAGTTGGACAGCGTGATCTTCTTGATGGAGCGGGCAAGAGAGTTGCGGTTCAGGCGGTCCTCGTCGGTGACTCCCTCTTCCATGGGGCTGGCGCTGCGGCGCTGGCGGCCAGGCGGAGCGGGGCTGGCGCGCGYTTGGGCCAGGTAGAGGGAGATGCGCTCGTTGAGGTTGTGCCGAAGGCCATGGTGGTTGTCCAGAGCGGAGGCGAGAGCAATGCTGGGGCAAGCATCGCCGGAGAAGTCACCACCGCACTTGGGCAGGGAGAGTTTAGTGCTTATGGTGAAGGGCTGGACCTTCCTCGCYGTGCTGCCGGACATCCTCTCCCTCGCTGGGGCGGCCCGGGAGACGCTGCAGAGGGCAGCAGGGGCCCGGAGCGCTGCCGACGGCAGAGCAGGCAGCACTCGCGGTCCCAGCCCGGAGCGCCCGGGACGCTGGGACAGCGCGGGGCCAACTCTGCCGCGGGCCTCCCTACGGCGGGGACGGCCCGGGCGGCGGCTCCGGCCCCGGGCGGCGGC